TCCGGCTTTCCTCGGCGTGCGATAAAAGTCCCCCGTCCCCGAACTTGAGCAGGGACCGACCGTCCCGGCATTCCTATAGTCCCACCACGAAATGTTCTTAGAACCCAAAAATGTTCTAAGAACAAATGCAATGTTCTTAGAACATAAACCCGATGTGCTAAAACAAGCCAGTCCAAAACCAGAAATGTTCTAAGAACATGTTGTGGAAACCACAAAAGAGGTTCTTAGAACATTGTTCGGTAGGGATATAGGCAAGCCAAGACGCTTCGCCACTGCTTGACGAACCCCTCCCCCAGAAACCAGCCCCGGCCTGTTTGCGGAAGGGGGAGGGGCCTCCCCGGTGGTGGGAGGGCACCCGCTCCAGAAAAGCCCCTGTGGCCCCAGAAGCTCCCGAGGCGGCCCCTCGGGGGGCCCAGGTGGGAGACGCCGAATGGGTACCCCAGCCCTCCACCCCAAAATGGGCCCAATATCTCGAAGAGGAACCAAATGACGCCCACAATGCTTCCCACAGGCCTCCAGCAGGCCTCCAAGAACGCATAGTCTAAGCAAGTTTGGCAGATTTCCTGGGCAACCCTTTGCTGTCTGTTTATTGATATGCCCTGAGGTTCCCAGGACGGCCCAGAGAGCCAGGAAGACAGCCGCAAGACATCCCCGAGGCGGCCACAGAGGGCCCCTCCGCCCTGTTCCCCGAGCGAGAATGCGGCCACGCTGGTGGCCGCACTTCCGCTCAACATTTCACGACGCAGGCGGTTCCGAAAGGCAGGGGGCGGCGGTGACTCACCGGAAGCGTCTTCGATAACTGCTGGTTCCCCTGATACACGTCCCCTCTCGGTTCTCCAGGTTTGTACCCTCCAGGGAAGATCCGATCTGGTCAACGCACCTCCACGGCCCTTAGACACACGCCGCTCATGCCGAACAGGGAGGATTGCAATTTCTGAATCAACCTGAAGACCTCCATCAATTTTGTTCGTTGTCTGGGGTCGGTGGAATGGCGTAAGCCTCTTGAGTACATGGTGCTCTCCTTCAGGCAGTAGAACGCAACCAATCCCGTGACGAAATTAGCGACGCCGAGCATGACAAGACCTGCGATGATCGTCATGATCAGCGTATATGGGTCAGCCTTGTACACATGGCCAGTGGGGAAGAACTGTACCATGATTCCGCGCCTGTACTGGTCGTAAAACTCATTGTCCCCGAAGGGCCCTCCGTACGCTGCATAGGTGATTTCGGAACCAAGGCTAGTCCAATCATCCACAACGTCAACCTCGATCTCGCACTTGAAAGGCCTACTGGTGTCTTCCACGTCACCCTCGTACCTCAAATAGAACATCAATCTAGCACCCACCATCCGTCGATATGGTCGCTGGTTGTCGTGCTGACTCGGTTTCACGACTCCCTCCAACCTCTCGTCGAGAGAATGACCCGCCACGGAAAGCCACTCGGAAATTGAAGCGTTCATAGACTTACCTGGCTGGAATTCCCAATGGCAACCGTCATTGCAATGTCGCTGACCTGTCTGAGCGTCACGCTTGCCGCACTTTTTGACGCACGTCGTGATGCTCCTCTCGAACTCGGTGGAACCCTCTCTCTTGGTGGACCCGGAAACGGACCACTGCTCGGTTCTTGACTGGAAAGAATGGTCAAACCATAACTGCAAATTGTCTGCGCCGAGCACGAAATAGTCGCTCAGCTTGCTGCAGGTGCACGTCGTGTCGCCAGTGGGGCTGGTGACAACGGTGTCTTCCTGGTCTCTGCCACTGAGCCCACTGCCCGCAAACTCGCACGCTGTCTGCGCACCTGAACAAGCCCCGGTCTTGATATGCAACTGCTTCATGTATGTGGTCACGAAAGCGCTTTGTGCCTCTCGGGTAACCATCTGGCCCATCGATGGCGACACACAGCCCGAGTTCTGCTCTATCCAGTACGAAGTCGAATCGTTGACATACCAATAATCGTAATCTGAATTGCCACAAAAATTGCTACTACTGTTGTGTGAGCTATGTAACTCCAACGAACTACCAGCCTCAAACCAAAAAACTGGGAAGGCTGTTGGCACATCAGCCAGGCGGTACTTCTTCTCAACCCATATCTCGTAGAACATGTATCCGAATATGGACAGTCGTAGCGCCCAAGAAAGGAACCCCACGCGCCAATCAATGATAACCAATGTCTGAGGGGTGTACCACTTGGAGAAGAACTGGAAGAACTTATCACACAGACTGTCCATGGTGAACGTGGCAATTCTCGCCTGGCGCTGGCGCCGCCAGGCTGGGAAGACTGCTCCTCAAAGACGCGCAAGAAAACCTAAGCTTTGCGAAACCGACAAAACTTGAGCGACCAGCAACGGAGCACCACTGGTTAATAAACGACGCAAAGAAATGTACTTCTCCATCCCGGTCCAACTCCACTCCAAGATGTCCGGGATGGCGCCAAGGTCCTGTCGACGAGCCTCCCTCTCCCAAGGCAAAACGTCGCCCCCGAATTCCTGATCGGAGGTGAGGCGGTGAGGTTGCAGTGAAACGGAGAAGCCCCCAACAAGGAATCGGTTTTGGTTTCGTCTTCATGTCGTGCGTGCGGGCGAGGCGGAGCTGCGTGGGCGGGCAGGAAGAATGGACCCTCCTCTGGCTAGGGCGCCGCCGGGCCAAAAGACCGCCCACCCACCCCCCGTCGAGTTGGGCGGCGGTGGCCCTGGGTGTCCCGTCGGTGTCCCGTCGGTGTCCCGCCGGTGTCCCGCCGGTGTCCCGTCGGTGTCCCGTAATGAGATCGACAGTGAGATCGATCTTGAGAGCGAGATCGATGGTGGTATCTGTAGTGATGTCGATTGAGAGAGACGCTGGTTCCTCCAACCTCTTTAGCACCCGAAGGGTATATCTATATTCCCCAATCAGAGCTTGCCTCTGGTTAGGTTAAATTTGTCGCCGATTTTCGCTGCACGCCCGGGTGCCCGGGTGCCCGGGGGTGCCCGGGGCACGGGTGCCCGGGGGGTGCCCGGGGATGCCCGGGTGCCTGGGTGCCCGGGTGCTCTGGTGCCCGGGCGTGCCCGGGCGTGCCCGGGGATGCCTGGGGGTGCTAGCCCTATAGCCCTAAGCCCTATAGCCCTATAGCCCAATAGCCCTATAGCCCTACAACTCTATAGCCCTATAGCTCTATAGCCCTGTAGCTCAATAGCCCTATAGCCCCCTAGCCCTAGAGCCCTGATTGGGTTTTTCTCCGGTATAATATATTTATAGATGTATCGGAAGTGAGGGTGGGTGAGGTTGCAGTGAAACGGGGAACCCCCAACCAGGAAATCAGTTTCGGTTTCGTGTTCGTGTCGTGCATGCAAAGCGTTGCTGCGTGGGCGGGCGAAGGGAATCAACCCTCCTCTGGCTAGGGCGCCGCCGGGCCATCGGACCTCCCCCCCGCGGGTTGTCTGGCTGAGGCTGGGTGTTGCCTCGGATGTCCCGCCGGTGTCCCGCAATGAGACCGATAGTGCGACCGATAGTGAGATCGATAGTGCGATCGATTGTGACATCGATGGTGCGATGGCTAGTGATATCGATTTTTGAAATCGATAGTGAGATCGCTAGCGCGATCGATTGCGAAATCGATAGTGCGATCGATGGTGAGATCGATTGTTTAATCGATTCTACGATCGACAGTGAGATCGATAGTGAGATCGTTCGAACGAGATCGATCGAGGGAGATGGATAGTGAGATCGATAGCGAGATCGATCGTACGATCGCCAGTTAGATCGATAGTGAGATCGATAGTGAGATCGATCGTGAGAGCGATAGTGAGATCGATAATGAGATCGGCAGTGATATTGATAGTGAGATGGGTAGTGAGATCGATAGAGTGCGACGCTGGTTCCTCCCCCCGAAGTGTGTGTGTGTGTGTGTGTGTTTGTGTTTGTGCGTGCGTGTGTGTGTGTGTGTGTGTGTGTGTGTGTGTGTGTGTGTGTGTGTGTGTGTGTGTGCGTGTGTGTGTGTTTGTTTGTTTGTGTGTGCGTGTGTGCTCGTGTGTGTGTGTGCTTGTGTGTGCGCGTGTGTGTGTGTGTGTTTGTGTGTGCGAATGTGTTCGTGTGCTCGTGTGTGTGTATGTGTGTGTGTGTGTGTGTGTTTGTGTGCGTGCGTTCGTGCGTGCGTCGCCTTATCCGCCGCCTCTGCGCCTCGCCTTGTCTGGCCTGCACTGTCGGTACTGGCCCTTCGGCACCCCCTCGTCCTTTCCCCGCGTACCTCCCCCCGAACTGCCCCGGGTTTGCGTATGACGCGTTTGATCCCCCAGGGGTGGATCCCCGTCCCTGGCTTCTGGGTGGGCCAGCCGCGCGCGCGTTTCCCGCTTTCAGCTCGGCGACCTTCTTCGTCTCAACGCTGCGCGAAAGGCCGCGACGCCAAAAAAGTTACGTGTGTGTGTGGGGTCAGTATATGTGTGCGTGTGGGCGCGAGCGCGCGCGCGCGTTGGCGTGTGTGTGTGTGTGTGTGTGTGTGTTCTGGGGTGGGTACTGGGAAAGCCATGCAAACTTCGCCTCGTGCCGTCCGTGACTGGCGTGCGGGCGACGCGAAGCCGGCGGGCTTGAGGCACAGCCTCCCGTGGCGAGGGGCGGGACGAGCAGAAATTGTCGCCATGGTGGCGTCCGCCGGCATCGTGGGGTTGGTCCCGTAGTTGCCGTGCTCGCCCAGCTCACTCCTCCTCCTCCTCCTCCTCCTCCTCCTCCTCGCCCCCATCATACCTCTTCTCCCCCTCCTCCCTCCCTCCTCCATCTCCTCTTCCTCCTCCCTCCTTCCTCCTCGCCCCTATCATACCTCTCCTCCCCTCCTCCCTCCTCGCCCTCCCTCTCTCATTCCTCCTCGCCCCCTATCATACCTTTTCTCTCCTTCCCCCCCATCCCGCCTCTATCCCGTCCTGCGTCCCTCCTCGTCTCCCTCTTCTCCTCCTTCCTTTCCCTGTTCCCCCCCTCCTGCGAGCAGGCGGGGGAGGAGGAGGCACACCCCAACCCGTAGATTCATGATGCCCCAGAGACCAGGTGATCGTCCTCAGGGCACTGATGGAGGGCGTAGATCTCACGCAGGAACCTCTCTGGCGCGACAGGGAAGGGGCAAGGCAACAAGAGTGGCCGAGCGTCGACGATCGAGAGAATGACGCGCCGCGCAGACGTCGCCACAGGCGAGACAGCAACAGCACCACGCGGAACGAAACCTGTTGGACCGCGCGCGCAAGCGTGCGGAGCTACCCATCGGTCGGAAAACATTGGTAGAACTACGAAGTAGGACGGCGTTGAAAATAGACAAGATTTCCGCCCGTCCTGTTAAAAGAACAGAACACGGAACACCGTACGATTGCGGCTGAACTAGAATGGAACCTGGGGGTCGACATGACCTGCCTACTTTCAACAAGTGATGGGTAAATACCCATGCTAGAAGATGGACAGGGGAGTCAACAAGCCCGAGTGGGAGGGGATGGCAGGGCCCAGAAGTGATGGTGGCAGGAGGGCCAACAAGCCAGAAGCATGGCGGGGCTCTGAAACGATGCTGGGAGGGCGCCAACAAGTTACAGTGGAAGGACGTACTCGCGGGCGACAACCGAATTCCTCAATCGACTTATGCACTGGTCGTCAGACCTATAGTCAACCCGTATGGCAAGGATGCGAGATAAGGATGCAAGGGCCTTGGACGCCCATTTCGAAGCTTTTCGAGCGGAGCGCGGCCAACGAAAGTGCCCAAGGATGGACCGAGGAGGCAAATATGCAAGGGTACCCTTGGAAAGGTTGCCCATCCTTACTCTGCGGGTTGACTGTAACACACTCTCACGTTGGCATGGAGGGAAGTCAAGCAGGTTATGGCGTGAACAGTAGCACAGCGCACGCTGCTCTCTTGAGCCTGGGCAAACGAGACTGGCCCTGAGGACCGTCTCGGAAGACCAGATCCCTGCGGGCCCCGAAGCAGTAGCATTCCCCAGACACCTCAAACTGGGAAAGAAGGGCCTCAGGCTGGCGCGACTTCGTTGAGTCGCCTGGCGGGCGAGGAGCCTTCGGTTCTCTTGCCGTGGCTCGGGTCTCCAGCGGCCGCTCGGGACGATGCGGGCACCCCTGCTGGAGAGCACCCCGAGGCTGGAAAGCCTCCGCGAACCGACGTGCACGGCAACAGACGTCGAACTGCCCCCCTGGGTGCGCCGCCGATGGGAGGCCCCGCCCCGCCATCCTGCAAAAAATACGGGCGCGGTGCCCCCCCCGCCGTTGGCTCGGCCGACGCTCCCGCGCTGGATGCCAGCCGAGAGGCCGCTATCGCCCTCAGCCCCGTGTCGGCCACACGCAGGGGTGGCCCTGGGCAAGAGTGACCTGTTTCGAGAAAATGGGTTGGGAGGATCGCGCCGCATCGTCGATGCATTGCGACGCCGACAATGCATCGGCGCCGTCGGCGTGGTGTACATCGGACTCCGCATCGAGCCGCATCGCCGAAGCATCGGCGCGATCCTCCGACCCCATCTACTCGGACCCCATCTGGGACGCCTGGACTTTGTGCGCGGCTCTAAACGGGGCAGCGGGGCAACGTCACGGGGGGAGGCTGGCGGGCTGGAAATGTTCGACGCTGTTCGACCACTTTTTGAGGGCCCGGGGTGGTCTCCATCGGCTGCACCCCGTCGAGGGTATTCCGGAAAAGTGTCCGAATCGCCCCGAACGGCCGCCGGAGGCCAGAATTGTCCCGTGAACCACGCGGGGATGGGGACAGGTGCTCCTCCTCCCCCTCCTCCTCCTCCTCCCCCTCCTCCTCCTCCTCCTCCTCCTCCTCCTCCTCCTCCTCCTCCTCCTCCTCCTCCTCCTCCCCCTCCTCCCTCCCTCCTCCAGGAGGAGGAGGAGGAGGAGGAGGAGGAGGAGGAGGAGGAGGGGGACGCCCCAGAGGGAAGGGGCAACCGAGCGTGAAGGCCAGTGCTGGGGGGTGGCCCCGGGAGCCCGCATCGGGGGTCGCTCCGGCGAAGGGTCACCCTAACTCGTGCGAGTATAGCCGACCCCCTGGGGCGAGGGGGACGACTGACGAACCCGTCCCAACGCCCAACGCCCACCGAGTCACGGAGGGGGAGGAGGAGGAGGAGGAGGAGAAGGAGGAGGAGGAGGAGGAGAAGGAGGACCAGTGTAAACCCAAGAGTCACCAACGATGTTGGAATAAACCCTCCCTCTAAACTCCCTCTTCATAGGCCCCTACGGCGGTTCATTTCCATTGAAGGAACTGCCCCTTTGGAAGACATCCGTTGGAAGACCCTGAAGCATGCCAAAACAATGTTTTCGGGATTCCGACGCCACGGATCAACCTGACTGTTGCGTCTTGACAGTCCTGAATTCTGCCAGACGCCATTCCTGGGACTTCAACACAGCGAATCAACAGAACTGCTGCACCCGCGTATGTAATCCTGCATGTTTTCAAAACACCATGACAAGCGACGCCCCCTCCTCTTCGCCGGAGGATTGCGGCCGAGACCACTGCGGGACGCCGCCGGAGGTTTTACCCCAGCAGCGCTCGCACCTGACGAGCCGATCTTCGCAATCGCCAAGTGCCCCCCGAATCGCTTTTACTGGCGCCCGTGACCGTGCCCACCAGAATGAGCAGCTCGTGCGGCGCGGCTCTTCTTCGCACCGGCAGCGCAACATCATGCTGCTCTTGTTGAGCGCCAGATTACGTTCTGGCGTAGCGCGGTTCGCTAACACCGTCTGCCTTACAGCAGGCGCCGCAGCCGCCTTTGAATGTGCGCGCGGTTCTGGACTTCAAAATCCCGCGCCGGCCAAAACCCATCTCGGACGCGCCCCGCTGTCATACTTGAGAAGCAATTCAGCTACACATTGCGCGCGAGCGTTCCCGAGCCGAAGCCCCACCTTCCCAATGTCCGGCGCTCCCCCATGGGGAAGCGAAGCTGGCCGGCAAGCGCTGGGAAGAAAAATCTCGGGCTGTGCAGTGACCGCTCGGCGGTGTTTTCCACGCCGCCGAAAGCGCGCGGCACCCGCCTCATGACATTCAGCGCGCCAGAATATTTCTCCGGGCGCACTGGGTTCAAAGCGACTATCGTGCCAAACTCCACCGCCATCGCTGGCACGATAAAGTCCGCTTCAGCAAGATCCACGTGACGGGCCACGGCGCCGTGAAACTGTCCGCTCCAGTCGCGCCCGTGCCAATCCCTCCGCGGGGCGGCCCACGGAATTTTGCAGATTTTCTTCTTTGACCTCCACGTTTCTGTGTGCAGCGCGTCCCGCGACATATTGCAGGACGTGGACCTCTGTAGGTCTGCCCAACGAAGGCAACCAAACGTCAGCGCCAACGCAAGCCCAATAGCGATTACAATTGTTGCGTCGCGTGCTTCCGCTGCCAGAAAGAAATTGCTCAGAAGGCAATCGACGATGACCCTCGTTAGCGGGTCGTTTTCTGCCGTTGCTCCTCTGTCTGCTTGCTTGACATGCATATCTGGGCCTCGACCAGCGGGTCCTCCAACGGCCACGAGAACTGGAATACCTCTCGCCCGCACCAGCGACGCAAATTATGTTTTTGGGCACAGACGGCCCTCTACCGCGGGCGTCGCGGAGAAACAGCGCGACATCAGTTGCATCCAGCGACCATGGCTGAAGCCTGGCCGCCTCTGCCAATTTCTGCAGCTGCGCCAGGTTCCGCAGGGGGTCGCACTGACGCCGCCACGGAAGCCCTTCTGACCACCACAGGCTGCAAGAGAGCCGATTGATCTTCACAGCTGGGGCCTTTGAAGACCCATCCCCTGAGTCTCGGCGATGCGACCCCAATGTGGAAGGCGAAATCGAGCACTAACCCAACCTGCCTGGCCAGCTCTGCTGTCTCTCGGTCTTGCCAGCTTTGTTCCATCGTTCCCACGTTTCGCGTCTTCCTCCCAGGAAAAGCAGAGGACAAACACTTACCAACGGTAATTCTCCACAATTGGTCGCGGGCTCTGCCAATGTTTGCATGGGGCCACGAAGGACTCGCTCTCCCCCAGCCAACGCTGCACGAGCATGTCCCCTGACGGCCGCAGAAGCATTTCGATCTACACGTGCATCGAATTCCCTGGCCACTGCCGGGCTACACTGGGTTTCACCGCCCAACTCTGCCACAGCGTCTTCTGATGAATCAAACCAGCTATGCACTCTGAGAGTCGAACGGAGGTTCTTCGTCACCAAAGACTGTTCTAAAACCGCCGTCTCTGGTACCCCTGTGGGCACACATGCTTGCAGTCTCGGCGACAGGACGGGTGTGTGCTCAGACATTGCTTCTTCCTCCGCCTTGCCGCCGAAAGCGCTTGAGCCAAACTCGCCCTTTGGCCTCTGAGCCGAAAACCTCCGGAGAAGGATTGGGAAACCCCAGCGCCCCTTGCTGTCCTAAGCGGCCCCTTTCGGATTACTCACTCGCCCCCTCACCCAAATCCGCAAGTGCCCGTCTCACACAGCAGTCTGAGGTACGATGAGAAATGTGGACGCCACCGGCCCTGCCTGCCACAAGCCTCCATCCAACTTATTTGAGGGAGTTTCTGTGGAAGTCACGCCATCCTCACCCCCGGCGCGAAGAGCACGAGCCCAGAGCGGCCTCCGGCACCGTTTCCGGACGGATCCGCTGGATCCGCTGGATCCGGTGACGAATCCCAAACCGGCGCCCTCGCCTGAGACATCCTCACAAAACGGGCCCCGGGGGGGATGCCCAGAGGAGCCCAGAGCGGCCTCCGGCACCGTTTCCGGACGGATCCGCTGGATCCGCTGGATCCGCTGGATCCGGTGACGAATCCCAAACCGGCGCCCTCGCCTGAGACATCCTCACAAAACGGGCCCCGGGGGGGATGCCCAGAGGAGCCCAGAGCGGCCTCCGGCACCGTTTCCGGACGGATCCGCTGGATCCGCTGGATCCGGTGACGAATCCCAAACCGGCGCCCTCGCCTGAGACATCCTCACAAAACGGGCCCCGGGGGGGATGCCCAGAGGAGCCCAGAGCGGCCTCCGGCACCGTTTCCGGACGGATCCGCTGGATCCGCTGGATCCGGTGACGAATCCCAAACCGGCGCCCTCGCCTGAGACATCCTCACAAAACGGGCCCCGGGG